AGTGGAGGCAAGTTACCTTGCTCGGCGCATGAAGTTTACCAAGGCGCGCGTTTGGAAGACCCGCCAGGCAACTAGTATGTTTCCCCGTCACGTGATGTTTTAGGTAACACCGAATGGCGAGGGCGCGGCTGAAGAGGAGGAGGGGGAGGAGGCGTGGAGAAGGAAAAGGCAGACGCCCAAGGGGATGCGGCGGGGGACAGTGATGGAACTACATGGATGGGGAACAACACCAGCAGCCTGCCTATACCTCGCTCTTAGCACGGTCCTCCTAGCACACGGCGCCCGTGCCCTACGCCCATGCCAGCATGCACTAATCGGTTTTTCGTGCGGGCTGCATTTGCACGTGCGTTGCTTTATCGCCCTCGGTGCCGCCGCCGCTGCCGATGCACGGCGGGCTTGTGCAATGCGGTGCGGGGGGATGGGGAGGGAGGGCGGGCTGTGGATTTGTTGTGCGTTGAACGGTGAAAACAACGAAGCGATACACAGGTGCGAGCGTGGGCAGAGTCAAATGTACCATGTCTAGCGGGGGGCACGACGAGTGCAAACTGAACGGGAGGGTGCAGGGTGAACAGTGACAATTGTTGGGGGAAAACGGTGGCAACAGCATTGGTATGGAGTAAGCACGCGGGCTCGAGCAGAAACAACAAAACGATAATAATAACTATATATCAAGCTAGCGTGAGCTACACTTATGAGGGTATCCCTGCTACACGAATCGCATTAGCACTTCAAGTAGTTACACTGGTACTGCTAGTGAGTCTACACATGATAGTAACAGGTGCAGTGGCAGTGGCAGCGCTGGAACCAATGCTGATATCAGTTCCCATGGAAATCACGTGGGGTGGGATGGTCCTAGTACTAATATCGGGATGAACGGCCGCAATGTGTCCAGCATGCGTTACAGAATGAGAGCTAGAACGAAGTAACAACAATGTTTGCGGTAGGAACACGATCGTCTTATGAAATGCGGTGTACCGAACCAGAGTATGAACTACAACCTTAACCATCACGACAAGTAGCGAGACACGCACGCACACACATCATGACGAACACCTACGGGCACGCGCACAAACGCCCGCGCTAGCCAGGAGAAAGACAACTGAAGCGCTCGCCTTATCAAGAATACGCAGCTTGAAGGAACACTTCACAACCAAGACGGCCGTGACGATCAGCTGGCGAGCGCTAGCATGTAGAGCATCTGGCAAGAGTGCCCACACAGGCCCCCACCGCCTACTATCTGTCAGCGAGCCGTCGGCTAGCAACCCATCGACGTTCGCATCGACTTCTTTGGCATGGTGGCAAACAAGAAGAGATAAAGGTGTAGGGCCTAAATATACGCGGCCGTCCGTCTCGTATTTTTTTTGGCTTTGTTGAAATCACGAACGCGTGCTTGTTCCCAAATCATAAGTTTCTGTATCTCTGACTTTGCCACTAAAGATATGACTACTTGTGCGCAGAACGAACGATTGCCTGCCAAATCCACAACACTGCAACGTTTGGCTTTCTCCTCGTCACGAAATGCGTTTTCAATGTCCTCTCCAGGCCTCTGGGCGCGCTTAGGTGCAGGACCAATGTCGGGCAAGGGCAAAGGCCCGCCATCCGCAGGAGCACCGGCCGCGGCAAGAGCTGCTGCAGCAGCCTTGGCAGCTCGCTTGTCTCGCTGAGCCAATTCCTTTGCGAACACACGCCGCAACACTGGTTCCAAGTAGGGTTGGCATAATTTGAATTTTGCTTCCACACTGTCGGTGGAGCCCCATCTTGTCCGTATACATCTGGTAGGCATCTTAGTGAAACACATGTGTGCTATCATCGGGCCCCACTCTTTGACGGCAGCTTTCGCAATGCGATGCGGGAGCCCAGTTGCTCTCCACGTAGATGAGAACATAGATACACCATTGAAATGTTTTTTCTGCGGTCGAGGTGGTAATGGCCAAATCCAGTCGTCCATCGTCTGCAGCACTGACTTAGATATCAAACTCAGTTGGTGTAGCATGCAAAAAAACACAATCAATGCGATGTTGGGCACATCAGCGATGGCTGCCCGAATTCGTCTGCATAGCCCTTGGTTATCAGACCCATGGTCCAGGCAGAATGCGTATACTGTTTGGCGCTGGTCTTTCCGCACTGTACCATTTCGAAATTCTCGTGCACGCTGCTCCCAAGTCGGGCATCCGACTGAATCCAGTTCCCGAAGTACCATGACGTAAGCCAAAGCACCAGAATGCGGTTGATCCCCAGCAACTTGCAGGTCCCCACTGTTTGAAACGGCATCAACAAACGCCCCCAATTGTTCTACATCGCAGACGCCGTCATCACAAGTAGCTTCGTTTACAGATTGCTCCCCATCGCACCATACCGACGAAATCAATGATACGTGCACGGACGATTTCTCAACTGCTTTCTCATGGGTGAAATCGCATTGTATACCGTGGACCTCCATGATAGGAATACGCATGATTGCAGGGGCATCGCCCACGGGGCCCACAGGGCCCACCATTGTCCCGATTGCTGAATAGGCTTCTCTTGCTCTGAGACGCTTGGCCGCTGCAACTTTGTGTTGGTATATGTATATGATTTTTTTGTCCTGCACACCCCCGTGTAAGCTGTCGGATGCCACCATGTCCAGGGTAACCTCAGCACCGCAATGGCCTTTGTTTCTTGCGATCGCCAGCGCATACCCACCGATTTTTGAAACATGCGAACCAGGATCTCCAGACCGATATTGCACCATCTCCATAACTCCATTCAGTTCATCGCTCAGTTCTTTCACTCGGCCACTCAGCACTGCAATGCGGTCCTCACGTTTGCTGCATTTGCTCTGAAGCGCGCGCATTTGCTGGCTGAGTGCCTCGGGGGGTGGACCCAGAACACAAGCAGGGCAGTGCATGGGGGTAGAGAGGTGTTGGGGGGAAGGTGCGATTAGAAGGCAGGCGAGGTGGGATTGGAGGAGGATGGCCAGTCCAGGCTCGGAGGAAGGAGGATGAGGAGGAGGAGGAGGAGGAGGAGGAGCAGGAGCAGGAGAAGGACAGACGGCCATGCATTCTCCACCCGAGCGCCTGAATGCGCGAATCTTTGTCGTGTAGCACCTCACAGAGCTCAGCATGTGTATATGTGTCGTATGTCCCAACGTCGGCAGTTGCAAGCGCGCCCTCGGGCCCAGGAGAAGCGTCACAAATAGGTACATCAGCATCATCATGAGGGCGCGCGCCAGTGACCGATACGAGTGGCCTCTGGTCATTCACAAGAGGAGCGACCGACATATCTTGTCGTGCGTTGGAACCTGCCAAGCGATTGAAGACAGCCTCGATATCTGCAGGCGACAACGCAACCTCCATGAAATGCTCCGTTACAAGAGGCAACAAACTCAAAGAAAAATCACTCGCTGACCCATCTTGCGAATGAATGTCTACAAGAAAACGCTGCACTTGAGATTTATAGAAACGCTCCCTCTCTGCATCACCCAGTATATTCCCAATCAATCTCCCTGCATCGATGCACCGAAAACGACAAGCATCCATTACCTTGAACAGCTTGCGATCTTTGCATATCTGAAACAACTCCTCTCGCACACATTCACGTGTAGTCGCCATCTGTGCGGTATGCAAAACATAGGAGTGCAAGGTGGATTCGCGAAGCCACGGGCCTTGACACGAAACGCTACGGAGTGCGATGAGGCATTGATGAGATGCTGGCTTCTTTGGGGGGAACCAAACGTTACCCCGCCAGCCCTGTGGGCGCCCAACTCATGGGTTGTACTTAGGTCTTGGCCCTAGTTTGGCCTCTCTTTTTTTTTTTTTTGGGGGGGGGGGGCTGAACGTTATCCCAGTTCCTCCTTTGACCGATGGCCTTCAAGATGGCCTCAAGAGGTCTTCCAGGGCTCCCAAGAGGGCCCCAATAGACCCAAGAGGGCCCCAAAACGGCCCCAGAGGCCTCCAAGACGCCCAAGATGGCCTCCAAGACTGCCTGAGATGGCCTCCAGATGGCCTAAGACGGCCCAAGAAGCCCCCAAGAGGCCTCCAACACGGCCCAGGATGCCTCCAAGAGGTCCTCCAGGAGGTCCCGAAGATGCCAAAATCATTGACTGTCCTACTACTAGGCAAACCACATACTTACTAGGACAAACCATCCGCCACAGTAAGGCAGCAGGCATACAGGCAGGCATATGTCATTTTGCACACTGCCACTTCCCAGCGACGCACACGTGAGTCGGAGGGCTGTCCGCGGGCGGGCAGGCAACCAAATAGAGAAAGACTTCACGCGTGTGCGCGTGGTGCGTGCGCGTGCGCGTGTGCGTGCGCGTGGGCGCGCGCGTGTGCGTGCGTGTGAGTACGTGTGCGAATGCGTCACCTGTGGCCCGTGCGCGGCTTGACCCGCCGCGGAGTCCGCCGTGCGGATTCACAGCCCCTGGGCGCTCCAGATTCATGAGTGGGTCAATCAAGTTGTCGTGCGTGAACCACATATGTTCTAGCATTGTTGTTTGTATTGCGCATTTTTCACGTTACTCTGGCGGTGTGGATTGGCAAGGATTGTTAGAACACGCACAACGTCATACCTTCGGTGACCCCAGGGATGGAGTAACTTTCTACGAGGTGCTCCGACGAATGGGGTGGGGCACGTGCGGCGTGCTCCCCCGAATGGGGTCATGGCATCATCCTCGGGGGCCATGGGGAAATTGATTGTTTCCAACCGTTCTTGCCAGCCGTCCTTCCCCAGGCTCGGCCGTCGCCGACGATGGCGACGCAAAGGAGGGGCCCAAGAAGATGTCGGCTCTCCGGAGCCAGCTGAGGTCGCACAGCATGGAAAAGGTCTTGGGTGCATGCAAGGACATCTTGAGCGCCACTTCCGACAAGCACGAGAACTCCAAGATCTAGGAGCGCCCCCCCCCCCCCCCGTGATCGGACATTGACTGCTCGGGTCGACCTGCTCAAAATGCGTCGAATAGGTGCTCCCGCTTGAAGGCGGGAGACGGAGATGGTCAAGGGGGGGGCGCTGTGGCTGGCATGGCGCAGAACCTCTTAGACGAGGCCGAGCGCCTGAGATTCGTCGGCCAGCTCTTCAAGGAAGCTCGTCATGACCCCGTGGCGTTCTTGAATAGGTCGCTAAACGTGGCTCAGAAAACAATCATCCAGAAGATGGCCCCGAAGTTGGTGTCGAACGTATTCGTCGCTGCAGGCGTCGGGGCAGTTTCGGAAGTAGAGTTCACGGGCCTCGCCAGTGCTTATGCGCCTGCGGCTGCCAAGGCAATCATGGGGTTCGCTGCCTTCAAGGACGACGGCTCGATGAGCTGCAGCCTCCTCCCCGAGTCGTCTCGAGACAGGGTGCAGCAGACCGTTGTCATGGAGCTCGTCGAGAAGACGCTCGCCGCGTCTTCCGACGACTTCCAGAGCACGTGGGCTGCCCTCGTCGACGCGGGGCCCCCCGCAGAGACCCAGAACTACTTCTCTGGCTGCGAGATACCGCCGATCTGGTCTCGGCAGGCCTACGTGGACTTGAGCCTCGGCGCGTCTTTCTCTGGTTTGCTGAAGCACGGCGTAAACGCGAGCCCCCAGCTCGCCACCGTCGCCAGGGTCGTGCCGGAGAAGAAGTGCGAGACCAGCTTGAGGCTCCGAACTTTCTCGAACAGGAGGGGCAAGCCCAACCATCTCGGCGTCTCCTGCTGGGACACGGTGGACAAGGTCGCCGCCTTGGGGAACGACCTGCAGTCAGCGGCGGCTCGTTTCAAGGGTCTCTGGAGCGAGTTCAGAGACATCCACCTCCCAATTGATAACTATGAAGGTACCTTGTTCCTGGTCGGAGGCTTCATCGATGAAGGGCAGTCCGTCAAGATCTTGGACGCGGTGCAGCTGATGACCAACATCGACAGCGAGACACAGTCGCAGGACCTAGACGTCACCATCGCCAAGGCTTGGTTCACGAAGCTGATGAACGACCTCGAGGAGGTCATCGAGGGGACTATTGGTGAAGCTCTCACCCCGCACGTCATCGATAGGATGCTGGAGCCTCCACCGACTGGCGGATACGGGCAGGAGGAGGACCCGCAATGGGCCGCTGACACTTTTCGGTGCATGATGCAACTTGTGATCTTTCACGACAACTTGGAGTCGGCGCTGGATCGTGGGCGCCCTTGGTCTAAGCTGATGTCTGAGTTTCGGGCCAAGCTCAATCTTCTCGTTGACGTCAGCCAGGCAGCGGTGTGCGAGAACGACACGGACTACCTGGGCGTCCTCCGCACTTGGTCTTCTTTCTGGGTTCGCCAGCAGCGCATTGCCATCACCGACGTGTCGCTCGGGGCGCGGAGGAGTGAGGCAGTGAAGGCCCTGACGGTCCTGCGATCGTCTTCGATCGAGGTCGCGGCGACTCGCGCTTTCAAGAATGTGCTGGACTTTCGCAAGGGGTTCGATGACGGCATCATCCAGTTGGCCACCCAGCTGAAGGACACCTTCCCGAAAGCGTGCAGCACGCTACTAGACGAGGCCAAGACGCGCGACAACATCACTGCAGTTCTGGGCCGGCTGTCCAAGGATGACCCCGTCAGCCTCGTCGAGATAGCTGGAGCTGCCGCCGACGGCCATGAGTTTCTCCAGCCAGATACCGACAAACCCTTGATGGCGAAGGTGATGGCAGCCTACGGAAACGCCGTCGACTCGTGGATCGCGTCATCGAAGGGTGTCTTCCAGTTCGATCGGCTCCACGACTTCTTCAAGGTGGTGATCCCAGCGTGCGAGACGGGCGACTTCTCGAGCTGCCCGTGGATGGAGAAGACGAACGACGAGGGCATCAAGGAGGACATGGGGATATATGACCAGCTGTGCAAGACAGCCATGTCGACGTTCCGCATCGCCGAGGCGACCTTGAAGCTGATGACGAAGTTCGATGGCAGCGCCACGAGGGTGTCGGACGTGCAGGCTGTGAGGGACGCGTACAGTAAAGTATCGCAGATGGAGGGTGAGATCAAGATGGTCATCGCGACGGCGTCTATTGGCAACACGGTCCTGCAGAGGCCCAGGCCAAAAAGTTCCACCTCCGACGTCAAGAAGACTAAGGCCTACTACGTGAATAAGACAGGTTTACAGATCTCGAAGTTGGGTAGGTTCTTGCGGGATGTCCTTAAGGAGGCTGAGATGGTGGACACCGTCGCGGCCGACGCCGACGCAGTCTCTGTGAGCTCCAAGGACACAGCCGCTCCCACTCGTGCCTCGTCGGACCAGGCCATCGCCCAGCCCAGTGGCAAGCGCCCGAGAGCGTCGAGCTGGTTCGCGGCCCTCAAGATGCAGAAAAAGTGAACGACGGCGGTTGGATTTTTTTGATCATTACTTCCTCCTCGTTTGGCAGTGGCTGGATTCCTGTGTACTTACTCATTCTGAGCTGAGCTGGGAGCTGGGCGCAGCTGTTCTGGGGAGCAGCTGGATTTCACAGCACGTATTTGAAAGCTGGCTGCGGGGCGTTGCCAATCGACGAGGATGCTATGATATACAGTACTCTGGCCATGTTGATGGCACTGGCGCTGGAATAATACATTCATCAGCATTTCGATCGCTGTCGCAATCACAGCGAGCACCATCCCCCACATCGGCGAGCGATGAGCGAGAAAGGGGATCTCTTATTCAACGAGGTCCCCGCTTTTCGGGGACCCATGAGTAAGAGTAAGAGTAAGAGTGAATAAGAGTAAGAGTAACAGTAAGAATGTGGGTAACAATAAAGCGAACATAAGACCAAGAGCAATAATAAGAATGGGTAGTAGTAACTCGAGGGGGGAGGGGGATGGGGGAGAACAAGGATGAGGAGGAGGAAAAGGATGATGAGGAGCGGGTGGAGGAGATGCGGAAATGAAGACGGAGGGGGAGGAGGAAGAGGAGGACGGGGAGGAGGAGGAGGAGGACGGGGAGGAGGAGGAGGAGGAGGATTGAGGGTGAGGAGTTCTTTTTTGTTACTGGTTAGCGTCGTCAGCCAAAATGGATTCCGAGCGGCGCACTACGACGACTCTGGCACTGAAGTGGCCAGAAAGTGCAATGGCCTGATAGGTGTTGGCGGGCCCCCCATTGGGCTTCATGGTTTCGGCGCGTCCAATCTGCGCACGGCATCGTTAGGTGGTTCGGTTGCTGTATCGAGCAGTAAATAACAATGCTTTAAACGAGTTGCTGGTACGGCAACGCAGCGATGCGGCTTCGACGGCAATGTCTGAGCCAGAGGCTATAGCACGTGGCGTAGTCGCGGTTGGCTTGGAGGGGTGTCTCTGCACACCCCATGGCCTGCTCTGTGGCCTGCCCCAAGTTTCACCTACAACGCTTCTTTCAAATGACAGGGCGGCGACGGCGATCACAGAACCGCCAGACCGGCACCCAGGCCCAGACGACGAGCGGCGCCGAGGCGGTGACTGGGCGGCGACGGCGACCACAGAACCGCCAAACCGGCACCCAGGCCCAGACGACGAGCGGCGCCGAGGCGGTGACTGGGCGGCGACGGCGATCACAGAACCGACAGACTGGCACCCAGGCCCAAATGAACGGCGCCGAATCGGCGACCTGGGCGGCGACGGCGATCACAGAACCGCTAGACCGGCACCCAGGCCCAGACGACGAGCGGCGCCGAAGCGGCGACCCAGGCGGCGACGGCGATCACAGAACCGCCAGACCGGCACCCAGGCCCAGACGACGAGCGGCGCCGAGGCGGTGACGGGGCGGCGACGGCGATCACAGAACCGCCAGACCGGCACCCAAGCCCAGACGACGAGCGGCGCCGAGGCGGTGACCCAGGCGGCGACGGCGATCACAGAACCGCCGGACCGGCACCCAGGCTCATACGACGAGCGGCGCCGAGGCGGTGACCCGGGCGGCGACGGCGATCACAGAACCGCCAGACCGGCACCCAGGCCCAGACGACGAGCGGAGCCGAGGCGGTGACGGGGCGGCGACGGCGATCACAGAACCGCCAGACCGGCACCCAGGCCAGAGACGAGCGGCGCCCGAACGGTGACGGGGCGGCGACGCGATCACAGAACCGCCAACCGGCACCCAGGCCCAGACGACGAGCGGCGCCGAAACGGTGACGGGGCGGCGACGGCGATCACAGAACCGCCAGACCGGCAACCAGGCCCAGACGACGAGCGGCGCCGAAGCGGTGACGGGGCGGCGACGGCGATCACAGAACCGCCAGCGGCACCCAGGCCCAGACGACGAGCGGCGCCGAGGCGGTGACGGGGCGGCGACGGCGATCACAGAACCGCCAGACCGGCACCCAGGCCCAGACGACGAGCGGCGCCGAGGCGGTGACGGGGCGGCGACGGCGATCACAGAACCGCCAGACCGGCACCCAGGCCCAGACGACGACGGCGCGAGGACGGATCACGCCAGACGGGCCCAGACGACGAGCGGCGCCGAGGCGGTGAGGGGCGGCACGGCGATCACAGAAACCGCCAGACGGCACCCAGGCCCAGACGACGAGCGGCGCCGAGGCGGTGACGGGGCGGCGACGGCGATCACAGAACGCCAGACCGCACCCAGGCCAGGCACGAGCGGCGCCGAAGCGGTGACGGGGCGGCGACGGCGATCACAGAACCGCCAGACCGGCACCCAGGCCCAGACGACGAGCGGCGCCGAGGCGGTGACGGGCGGCGCGACGGCGATCACAGAACCGCCAGACCGGCACCCAGGCCCAGACGACGAGCGGCGCCGAGGCGGTGACGGGGCGGCGACGGCGATCACAGAACCGCCAGACTGGCACCCAGGCCCAGACGACGAGCGGCGCCGAGGCGGTGACGGGGCGGCGACGGCGATCACAGAACCGCCAGACCGGCACCCAGGCCCAGACGACGAGCGGCGCCGAAGCGGCGACGGGGCGGCGACGGCGATCACAGAACCGCCAGACAGGCACCCAGGCCCAGACGACGAGCGGCGCCGAGGCGGTGACGGGGCGGCGACGGCGATCACAGAACCGCCAGACCGGCACCCAGGCCCAGACGACGAGCGGCGCGAGGCGGTGAGGCGGTGACGGGGCGGCGACGGCGATCACAGAACCGCCAGACCGGCACCCAGGCCCAGACGACGAGCGGCGCCGAGGCGGTGACGGGGCGGCGACGGCGATCACAGAACCGCCAGACCGGCACCCAAGCCCACCCAGACCATACGTTACCGAAAAAAATGGGTAGCGCAAACGCGAAACGTAAAATTTGGGTCGTAACCGTCCAACGCGTGAATATGGGTAGGGATGGCCATTTCTGCTACCGAATTTTAAGGGCCGCGAGAATCGATAGCGGCCGCCTTCAAAAATGGGTAGCGAACGAACCATTTTGGGTAGCGAAAAACATACAAATACTGACAAACGTTGGCAAACCGCGAGTTTCTCGCGCAGAATTGCACGACAAACGTTTGACAAACGTTTGCAAACGTTTGTCGTGGGTTGTGGGCGGGCAGGCGCATGATGTTGGCGTTTATTCGGCGTGTTCTTGCGCGCGCGTGCGCGCTAGTCATGCGCGATCGAGCGCATATCATGCCAGTGATGAGTTTACCACATTCGCGATCTTGGCCGCAATGGAACAACTAGGAGGAGAGAAAGAAAGAGAGAGAGAGAGAGACAGAAAGAAAGAGAGAGAGAGAGAGAGAGAGGACGAGGAGGAGAAGGTGGAGGAGGAGAGAATAGGAGAGGGGCACCAGAGCCCTGCAGGGGCCCACCTGGGCGATCCACCTCTTCATATACCATCCTACTCTCGCCCGCTCCGCCCTCTCTCTCTCTCTCTCTCTCTCTCTCCTCCTAGTTGTTCCATTGCTCGCGCATGACTAGCGCGCACGCGCGCGCAGGAACGCGCCGAATGACCGCGAACAACAGGTGATTGTCCGCCCACAACCCACGACAAACGTTTGCAAACGTTTGTCAAACGTTTATCGCGCAATTCCGCGCGAAGGAACTCGGGGCTGAAGGCAGATACAAGCCTTCTCCTCCTCCTCGTTTTCATTCCCATTATCGTTGTTCTCCTGACGTCGGCTCGAACCCCTCAGACAACGCCCATGAAGACGACGCCGACACGGCATGGAGGATCGGAAGGGACCCGTCGCCACGACTGGATTCGTTGCGGCATCTCGGCTTAGACGACAAGTCCTACTCTTGGCGTCTGGCCCGAGGGCATGAAATCCTGGTCAGAACGCCAGACAGGGGGTGAATGGACAGGAATTTTTGCACTGCACGCACGCGCGGCGAAGCCGCAATCTGTTGTTCAGCGAACGGCACGCGCTCGGCCTCCAGCCAGCCGAGCACACGTTCGGCCTCCAGCCTTCCTTGGCAATCGCTCGGACGTCCATTCCCTGTGCTTGTTTCGGTTTCGTGCGTGTTTTTGTTCGCCAAGTGGCCAAGGGTGCTCCTCGATGATTCTCGCCGAAGGATACTGCACGCGTCCGAGCGATGCCAAGTTCCGAGAACTCGCTCGGCCTCCAGCCTTCTGTCGTCACCCCTCCTCCCATCTGTCGTTCTACGTTCCCCTGTTCGTTCTTCACCCACCCACCCACCTACTTCCTGCGTCTCCGCGTCATTCCTCCTTCCTCCCACATCCTCCCATACCTCCTTCCCGCCGCCAATGACCAATGGCATTAGCTAGTCATCGTCCAGACCGCGGTCCAGATCAAAGAACCTGCCTATGCGCCAGCGCTCTATACCTTTGGCCGACAGGGCCAAAGTCGGGCTGCCCATGAGAGCAGCCGAGCCGATTTTCGTTATGATTCTCATGAAATCTTCTGCCATGTAGCACCACAGCATCCGCGGGTTCATGCACCTGGCCCCTTGGGCCAAATGCCAAAACATATGATGTTTATTTACAACTGAATACTTGTACTTGCCATCACGCATTGCCTTGGTGGCAAGGGCAGAATAAAGAACGAGGGCGTTCTCAGCTGCAGATAAGACCCGAGCCGCTGCTCCAGGCTCAAGGCACAAGTCAGCCGCATCTAATTCATGGTAAAACCTGGCAAGGTTCACCAACATCAGCGTGCGCATCTTGCGCGGTTCGCTGCCGTCGTCATGCGCTTCTGAAATTTTGACCATAACTGGAACCAGCCACCGTTGCTGTGCAGCTTTCAAAGATTTACTCAAGCATGGGTAGCCACTGTGCGGCGAGCTCGGTTTTGATACAAACATGTTTCGGCCGAATTTTGAAGTACGGTGTGGGATGTCTAACCTTACATATAGATCCAGAATGTGTTCCCACAACTGTTGCGTCGCTGCCTTTGCAGGAAGATCACTTTGCTCGTACGCAACATCGTAACGCGCGTTCCCCAGCGCATGGGACGTCAATCCCAAA